ACAAGATAGTTTACACTCTTAAGAATTTAGAGATTAGTCACAAAGGGGAAAAAAAAAACATTTACTTGAAATCTTGATAATGGCTTTTATTCTCCCAAACGAACAAACCAATGTTTGTTTTGATATAAAATTATTGCTCCCAATATTTCTAATTAAAAATGATTATTAAAATGTCCTGTAACTTTAGTTTTCCAGGAACAGACCTTTGTCCCATTTAGATCCTAGAGCATAACACATTCCAAGTCAGGAAGGATGCGTGGTCAGTGTCACCCCAAGGCTGATGTGAAGATGGGATCCGCACTGTTTAGAGCTGTATGCTTTCACGAAGCCCAAGGTTTGGCTCAGTAATTTGCCATCATATGGTTAGAAAGCCATGTCAGAACATTCTGGATCATGTTGCAAAGGCTGCATCTACTTAGCCTCTTCGTTGCAATGACAAAAGCGCTTCGTATATGCTAAAGTTAATTCTGCTTCCATATGTGACCTAACTCACTGTTTTCCTCATCACCAGGGAGAAGGGGAAATGATGAATGTGAATCACTTACATAAAAATTACGATGGGTGACGTGCCACCATTATAATGCTTGGGGTTCTGTTTGGTTTAGTGAAGTGCCCTGGACTATGCAGCATTTTTCAATGATTTTCTTCTCCTTTTCTCTATGCTTTATGAAGAAATGAAAGATATGGAGTCACTGAAATACAAGTGCTTTAAAATTAGGTACATTTATGCCTAAAATGGGACTTCCTGAGCCTTAGAAGGCTTAAGAGAACATGACAGAAGGCACCACTGAGACCTCTCATCTCTAGAGTCCCAATGAACCGAGTAGTTCATTGTGTATAGATTTGCTTTAATTTCAAGATACTGTTCTGATCTTTGAACCAGAATCTTGACAACCAGGAAGCAGGTGTTTCAAATCCTAAATACAGCACAAGTGATCAGCTCCGCAGTGAGTTTGAGGTCAGCCTGGGCTACAGAACACCCTTTCTCAACAACAGCAAAAAGAAAATGAAACAATAAAGCCTCTAGGCTTTGAAATACACAAGAGTTTATGATACAGTATCATAAAATACCAGTAGCATAATTCTCTCTAAATGATGACACACATTTACCTATACAGTCATAACAATTTTTATTCTAAGTTTCATAGAATCTATATTTTGTTTCTCTGTTTTGCAGCTTTGAACTTTAAATCGGTCTTATTCATTGATTTGTTCAGCACATATTTGGGGAACTCCTCTACAACAGGAACGGTGGTCCACACTGCACTCAGATGTCATCAAAGATCCCAGCACTGAGGATTCCTCAGTCTTTGTTACTGGACAGAAAGAAAAGAGAGACGAGGAGATGGCAAATGTACAGGTCATCTGTTCCATGGACTTCTGTGGAATAAACTAGGCATGTTGCTGAGGTAGCTCGGAAGGTGCTCTAGCAGCGAATGGAGGTTGAAGCAGGGCATCAAACTCAGCGAGAAATACCTTGAGACGCCTGCCGTTTTTCTTTGAAGTAGGCCTTGTACACTCCCCCATGGAAACAATAAATAAAACAGTTAATATCCAATTCTTCTTCCGTCCATTCTCCCCTGACCCTGGGGTGCAGATGGTGATTTTTGTGGCCTTTTTAGTGATGTACCTGATCAGCCTCAGTGGAAACGCCACAATCGCTGTGGTTGTCCATACTAACCACTCGCTCCACACACCCATGTATTTTTTCCTAGCTAACTTGGCAGTTCTGGAAATCTTCTACACATCAGCCATTGCACCTCTCGCCTTGGCAAACCTTCTCTCTATGGGCAAAACTCCTGTTTCCATTACTGGTTGTGGCACTCAGATGTTTTTCTTTGTCTTCTTGGGTGGAGCTGACAATGTCCTGCTTGCAGTCATGGCGTACGACCGGTTTGTCGCAATCTGCTACCCTCTGAGATACACACTTATTATGAGCTGGTCCTTGTGTGTGGAGATGGTGGTGGGGTCCCTGGTCCTGGGATTCCTTCTGTCAATGACACTAACTATTTTAATCTTCAATCTCCCATTCTGCCATAACAATGAGATCTACCACTTCTACTGTGACATGCCTGCAGTCATGCGCCTGGCTTGTGCAGACACACATGTTCACAGGACTGCCCTGTATATCATCAGCTTCATCGTCCTAAGCATCCCCCTATCTCTGATCTCTGTCTCCTATGTCTTCATCATCACAACCATTTTACAGATCCGGTCTGCTGAAGGGCGACATCGAGCCTTCTCTACCTGCTCTTCCCACATCATAGTGGTCCTCCTGCAGTATGGCTGCACCAGTTTTATATATTTGTCTCCCAGTTCCAGTTACTCTCCTGAGATGGGCCGAATGGTGTCTGTGGTCTACACCTTTATCACGCCCATTTTAAACCCTTTGGTCTACAGTATGAGGAACAAGGAACTGAAAGACGCTCTAAAGAAGGCCTTGAGAAAGTTCTAGGGAGGGTGAACTTGTGATTTATTT